AAGAAGAAAGACATCAAAAATCAATTGTGGCATGCAAGTACTAATGTCCTTTAATGCGAGTTAACTATGTATTTAATAATTTGTTATTTATCATGTATTGACCACTGTGATTTTGTTCACCTTGCAGCGGTTGCACATCAGCCAAAAAAGTACGAGCAGAAGATGAAGATGATCCGTCAGACCCATCGAGCTGGAGCAGTATGGGATGAAGGTCAAGAGTTGGCCATGTGGACGTTCCATATGGACAACGGAGCCTGATGGAGCATTGCAACTACCAACCATGGAGAAAGTATAAATAATGTGTACAAGGGCCTTCGAGCGATGCCTATTTCTGTCATAGTGGAGATGTCATACTGGAAGGTCAACGAGTGGTGGGTGGCTCAGCTGCAGCTAGCGATAGGGAGGGAGCTATCTAGTCATCCTAGCACATGACCTCTTTGAGCAAATGCAGAAGAACGAAGAAAAATCAAGTAAGCATAAAGTTGTTCTTTTCGATCGCAGTGAAGGGATATTTGCAGTGGAAACAGGTGTATGGGGTGGAGGTAGACGTGGCCACAATCATCAAACAGTTACTCTGCACTATGAATCAGGGGAGTGGATGGATTGAGGGAGAAAGAAGTGTAAATATGGTGGTGTGATTTGGAATAGGGGGAAGGGTTCTATTTATAGTGAGGGAGGGGAGGGATCTGCGCAAAATTACAGTTGGGACATCACCGCCTTTGACAAAGATGGTGAATTCACCGCCTTTATCGAGAACGGTGATTGACGGGAATCGAGTGACGTGGCGTGCTGTGAGGCGTCAGATCTGGGAAGAAAACCACGATCCGCGCCTCACCGCATCTGACCGCTGCGGTGAGTGGACCCGCGACGCGGATCGCTGACGTGAACAAACATGGGGCATTCACCATGTTTGTCTAAAACAGTGAATGCACCGCGTTTGTCCACGTCAGCGATCCGTCGCATTCATCGTGGACGTGAAGAACGGGGAGCACTTGACCGCGTTTTATTAAAATGGTGATGTTTTCACCGTTTTTGTTTAAAGCGGTGAATGACTCACTCGTTACTCACCGTTTTAAACAAAGATGGTGAACACGTCATCGTTTTATTCAAAAATGGTGAAATGTTCACCGTGTTTGTCAAACTCGGTGATTATATTCACTGCGTTTGTCAAAAACGGTGAATGTGAAACATGTGTACTTTTGGGGAAAAAAATTATAACTTTATGTATTTTGGAAAAAAAAATTAAGAACTTATGTACTTTGGGATTTTTTCCCAAATTTCAAGTCCTTGTGAGTGTCTTTTGTTTGAGGTATAATATCCGTTATGAAATCTCTTCTAACAACTCGAGTTATTGGGATCAACTGGTTATTGACAATATCATCTTTCATATAAAAAATATAAGCATCATTACCTCAATTACCAATTAAGAGGCCACTTGGAATTAGGCACGCATTTCAAAAGAATTCTATTGACTCCCTCAGTCCCTCTTCACTATCCTTCTTGGTTTTCCTCTTTGCCATTAACTTAATCCTCAAAACACTTCTCGTACGTTAGAACTTGATATCTCTTTTGCAATTAGAGTTGTAAATGAGTCAAATTGTATTGACAAGTGGCTCGGCGTTCAACTTGTAAGAAATTCATTTGATATTTGGTTGATTTATTAATGAGCTGAGTTTGAGTTACACTTTTTTTTATTTATTTGCAAGGCTCAAGAGGCGGTTCGAGTTTGAGTACCTTCTTCTGCGAAAATAAATGTCGTCCAAGAAGAAGCAAGAATACAGCTCCAGCTTTTTGTTAGAAAAAGGGCAGTTTTAAGAAGCAAAAACAAAAGGGTGGGGGGAGAAAGCAAACAAAGAAACGGCAAATTCTGTGTTGCTTCCTTCCACATGTCTGGTGGGCTGGGCACAAGACCAGATTTGAGCTATCTAAGTTTGGTCGCAAGTACATACAATCCACCTGTATGCGTATAAAATACTGTATCTTTAGCACAGTATAATAAATAATAATGCAGTGCAATGCACCTGCCTGATATTCGGAACGCGAAAAAAGAATTCTTATGATTAGTTGTTTTTCTCCTGTTAAATTATCTGGTCATGATATATAATGAGCGGAGGAAGCAGCATTTTAAACTACCCTTGTCCTCTTTTATAACTTAAATATATAAATATTTAATTAAGAACTATTTAATAAAAAATAATTAAAAATAATTATATCAAAATAATTTATTTATAGATTAAAATTAACCGACTGTACAATCATAGTTTTCAGAAAACAACGACGAAGGGATTTCATATTGTGAAATAAACACAAAAATATTCGTTGTATACACTATTAAATTAGTCTCATTAGTGTATCTCGCTAAACAAGCATTAGCAAACTGGTCGCCAAATTGACTTGAAAACTTGTGTTTAATATAACATAAAGCTAAAAATGCTCTTTTTACACTTGTAGTTGTAATTGGTAGAATCAAAACTAGTGAAATTGTCGTTGTCACCAGACAATTTCAGGGTTGTAGGGGAAAGATCGAATAGGTATAAGGAAAAAAGAGATCTAATTAGGTCTTTGTTGCAATTGGAATTTCGTTTATAGTATAATAAATTAATTCATGTCAACTTTTGAACAAACAATGAGTTGTGTTGCAGTGACAAAATACTCCAATACTACCTATAGATGTTGTGTTCCATCATCAATATAAATATATATGGCGTATTTTTGTTCCTCCGAAATTCACCCCTGTCCCGGGACAATACCCCGTGGGCCTGCCTCCGCCACTGTATATGATCACTTACTATTTGCAACCACTGGTGTGAAGGAAGAACATTATCCGACATGAATTAATGCCTTCAATTTGGCTTCATTTCTTATAATATTATTTTTGTGAAGCATGGTACATTGTTAGTACGACCGGCGGGACGGATATATAGGTCCCCAGATCCCATTTGACATTGCCTTAGCTACTACACATGATAAACCATATATCCATCATTCTTTCTTTTATTTCACTTGTCTTCTCTATACAGATCATCCCAATCCATTGAATCTCATTAATTACAATTTGGCGCATTTATCAACTCAACTCTCTCTATCTTTGGCCTTATTATATATTCACCAATTATACATTTGTCAGATGTGAAGATTTGAGAGGATCCTCACACCACCCTCTAGTTCCGTTTGTATAATCTTAATCATTGATTTGGAATTTAAAAATGAATGGATTGCTCTTGCATACAAAGTGTTTAGTACCAATGATAATTTCATGTGTAAGCTAATTACATGAAGAAAAAAAAAGTAAAAAAAAAAATATAGACATACGCCGTTATAGAAAGACAAATGTGAATATGATGATTTTAGTGTCGATAAGTCTTGTTCAACTTTGAGAATACGGGATACTGTATGCGAGTTTTATCAAGTGGAAGAATAAGGCAATAAGGAAGAAGTCGGAGGAGTACAACGATGAAAAAGAATGAAATTAGTAGTTAGCAATAGATTGAATCATCAACGAGTTGTAATCTAGACAGACAAATTGATAGAGTACACAACATAGTGCTCTTACACAATTAAAAGAATTTCAAGTTCATTTATCGTCATTAATTTTACTACACTTACTCACAACTCAATGAGCAATCTGTCACGAGATAGAAGAAAAAACAAAATAATATATAATACACGAGGTCGGGGTCTTGCATATTTACATGAGTTCCAAGTCAACTTCACGCCCTTCATCGCATTTATCCCGCAACTTCAACTGACTCGATGAGTCACGGATTTTGTTGTTGTAGTTATTATTGGGGCTATCGAACATCAATGTTGGAGAGAAGCAATAGGAAAGAAATTTGAGGCATCAAACACAAATTAACCTTGAGTGTTACGGGAATTTCATGAAGTATAGTAACAATTACAAGTAGGCTTTTACAGACCTAATGAACAAGTTCAGCTATGCAACGCAAGGCTCATGAAATAATTTTCAATAAAAATTAAAAAGAAGAAGAGGGTAGAAGTTCCACGAGGTCGATGCTCAGTAGCGGCCCGTAACAAAAATGAAACTTGTCATAGTACCATAACTCTTGACAATCCAACATTTTGATACTAAATTCTTAGCAATCACTTTGGTTATGCAAAATCTATTGATAGAGAATGTCAAGTTAGACAATTAGTAGCATCAATTTGTAGTAGAGATGACAATTTTAATTTTATCTTATTCAATTTACCTGACCTGTTTGTTTGTTTTGGGACGGGTAATACCTACACCGTAAGTGGGACGGGGTGGGCATGGATATTCTACTCCATTTCAACCACTTCATTCTCTGACCCATTTTTGCATAAATTATGTGTGATTTCACTCGAATTGCTTAGTATTTTACTTCTATGACCTCATATTTTACTTATAATGAAGTTATAAATATGTGAGAACATCAATTTCTCAAATAATGTAAATTATTTATCATATGATAGTTTCTTTTTTGGTATTTAAATGAAAATATGAACATTTCTATGGTTTCTTTTTAATTTACATACTCATTGCAATATGGGTCAACCTTCCCTAACTCGTGTCTTGTGATAAATTCTCTGATTTGAGCTCGACTTATCACTAAATAAGTATGGGTGTCGATATACCTGCGCCGAATCGGCCTATGAGATTTTGATTCGAGAAGTGGCTTGGGGAAAAAAGACTTGGTTGAGGAGAAAGAAGAAAAAAAACGTGAACCAAATTAATTAATTAAATTAGGAGGGGAGTCAGTTAATAAATAAATTGGAAAATGGACAGGCTGTCACATTAAAGACCCCAAATTATCATTTTCTGTCTCTTTTGGCCCCCGAAGTTTGCTACCAATTGCATGCCTTGAAAGAGTTTGGGCGGCACTCATCGGACTTGTCTTTTACAAATTACATTCATTACGCCCCGCCGCTCCCAAATCTCAAACAATATTAAATCCTAATAAAATAAAATAAATTCACGATATTAACACTTTAACAGTCCCTTGCATCGGAAATCCAAATCTTTAATGGAAAAAACTAGCGGCGGCCGCGGCGGTCGTCGACGTCGTTGTCGGGCTCTCCGACAGCGTAGAATTCACATACTCCCTCACTTCCTTCGCAATCACGCCTCTCATAACGTCCCAAAACCCAGCCGGCAAGCTCTCCGCCCTCCTCTCCTCCGCCACCGCATTCCCCAGCCCCCCACCACCACCACCGCTCCCCATCCCTGGCGGCGCCAAAGTCAGCGCCGTCAACGCCTCCTCCTCCTCCGCCGTTGGCGACCCGGCCGCCATCATCTCCACATCGCCGCTCCCGCCGTAATTCCAACAGCACTCCTGGCTATAATTATAATTCCCCTCCGACGCCGCCCGCTGGTGGAACACGGCCGCCTCCGGTCCGGAACCGCCGCCGAAGCCACCGGCGCGGCGCTTGAGGGTGGAGTTCCAGTGGTTCTTGACGGCATTGTCGGTGCGGCCGGGGAGCAGCCGGGCGATGGTGGCCCAGCGGTTGCCGTAGCGGGCGTGGGCGGCGAGGATGGCGGCGTCCTCCTCGGGGGAGAAGGGGCGGTGCTGGACGGCGGGGCTGAGCTGGTTGCACCACCGCAGCCGGCAGGACTTCCCCGACCGGCCGTCGATGTAGCGGCTGATGAGGGACCAGTTCCTCGGACCGTGTCGGTCGACGAGCCGGGTCAGGATCCGGTCCTCCTCCGCGCTCCACGGGCCCTTGATCCGGTCGGGCCTGGGCCCGCCCCGGCCCGCGGAGGAAGAGTCCGAGGAGCAGGAGTCGGAGGACGTCGAGCACAAGTTGTTGTTGTTAGTGTTCGTTGGCTCCATGGAAGAAGAATTGAGTTGAGGAGGAGAAGAAATTAAAGTTTGAATCTTTTTTTGTGTTTGGAATTTGGGATGGAAGGGAATTGAATTGGGTAGGAGAGGAGGGTGGAAAAGGGAGGCCCGTGCGGGGGTTATATATAAAAGGGAAGAGAAGATAAATGAGAAGGAAGATTAATTAATTTAAAGAATAATTATGGGATTAGATTTAATTGTTGGGGAGTGCATGAACGTTAGAAGGGGTATTTCCAGGAAGGTGGGTCTGTGTAAAGTTGGTAGGGGCGAAGAAATATTTAGGACTGGGACTGTCTGTTTTGTTTTCCTTTCTTTCAGTTTGTTTAATTATTTATGGGTTTTGGGGGGATTTTGTGTGCCTGCAGTTTTGATTCTGTTGGCTAATATTACCTGTCATTTTGACCAAATATGGGCAAGCTTGCCATTTTGAACAATCAAACTTCACCCACTTGTGCATCCCATCCTATCCCACCATAACTGAACCTTTTGTACTCTGCACAATGCCAAAAACTGTGCCTGTTGGATAGGAGATGAGATTGAGAGAATTGGTTTCCTTTTGCTCACCTACAACTTACCAGTTACCACTTAGGACATGGGCATTGAGAGACTGAAAAGCGTGTGTATGTTAACAAATATGTCCTTCCTTTTAATGTGGGGTTTTCTTGTAGAAGTGGATGCAAACAATTATATCCTAATTAATGAAACAAGTTGAGCACGACTAGCTTCTCGGTGACGGACCAAAAAGGAAATATTGTAATAGCAGAAGAACATGAAGAGGTTGGTTTATCAATCAAATGAAAATAAGACTTGGAAAATTGGCACAACCACATGGTTAATCTGGAACATGTTGCAACTTTCTCAAGGAGCATAGACCAAACGACGCATTGCGTCGACGTGAATAAAATTAGGATGTGTCTTCGTGAAACCATCTTTCAGAAAATAGAATTAGAAGTAACGCAAGAAAAAAAGGTTGTTGGAGAAAAGGTTAGATCAAAGACGCGGATTGCTCAATCAAAGGATTCAAGTTCCTTCCTTTTGTAGAGTAGAATTCAACTCCAACGGTCCGTCAGCAGCACTATTTATATTCCATGTAATTGGCGGTTATAAAATTATTAAATCAACTAAGAGTGGTAGAGGGCTTCTAGTGTTTCGTGGTTTGACGATCTTAGAGGAAGAGGATCTAAATCGGTGTTTGGGTTGGGATATGGGTTTGTGAGAGTGTTCGAGTTTACTTTGGCTTTTTGTATTCAAGCCATTTCAAATTTTCGTTTTTGCTTGATAGGATTATCCAGTAAAAAGATTCTCCCGAAAATAGTACCAACTATCTCTGAGATGTGGAAGTAGTCGTAGTCTGGGTGAACCACGTTAAATTGGTGTGTTATGTGTTCCTTCTTCTCCCCGATCTCTGTTTTTTCCCTCCTTCATTTCTTACTATATCCCTCTATGCACTTCCAGACCACGAAGCTCGAAACATAGAGGGGTCGTTTTGATGAAGTTTTTTATGCAGGATTTACTTAAAATCCCTTTTCGTGCAAGATTTTAAACAATTATGCGTTTGAGAAGTGATCCATAAAACTGAGGATTCTACTCATGAGTGATTTTGAAATTCCACGTTTTTTTTTCTTTCTTCCAAACTTGTCCTTCCTACTTTCTTCTTCTTCTTCCTCTTATTCTTCCTCGAGTTCGGTCATTCCCAGTGTGATTCCCATAAGGGAGAAGCACCGAGAATGATGCTTGAGCTCAGAGAGGCTAGAGTTCGCCATTGATTCAAGCTTCACTCCGCCTAGTTCTCGTTCGATGTCGATTCGAGCATCTTATCCTTGGTTCTCGTGAATTTTATAATTACTGAATAAATGATGGACCGAACTAATATTTGGACCAGGACGAACCGGACCAAATGAACCGAATGCATCGATGGCCCGGTTCTTAGTTCTAAAATATATTTCACTAATGGATCGCGGTTCTCATGAGTTTGATCCGAGCCGGACCGAACAGTTGGACAACCTTAGATTAGGACATGGAATGGCAATGTTGGATTTCTTTGAACTCAAAATCAACCCAACTAGTGTATCTATTTAAAAATTGGTAACATACCCACTGTTTTTTTAATGAAAATCCAATCCAATCCTACGGCTACCCACGGGTGCATGGAGTGTATCTTGGTAAAATAAAATGATTATATGTATTGTATTGCCTTTGTGTTATTTCTTTGGAGTGTAACTCCTCGAAGGAATGATGGATAGACTCTGGTGTTTTCCGTCATGTTTGCTTTGTTAATTATATATATTTTATTCTTATGCTTTGGCTAGATTGGAAGAGAAGTTTTTTATGGAGAACTCTTCAACTTTCAAAGTTCAGGAATGTTGAAGAGATTCGCTTGAAGATGACATCGGGCAAGATTATGACACTCAACAACGTACTTCATGTACAAAAATCGGCAATAACTTGGTATCGACCTCACTTCTAATTGAACAAGGATTCCATTTGTGTTTAATTTTGACAAGGTCTTAGGAAAAGGTCATTGCGTGCATGTTTGGGGTATGTAAATTACAAGTTCTTATGAAAAATTATTAACATGGAGATATTGTCAAATTAGAAAGGAAATGTCAACTACATGTAGAATTACCCTTTAACATTAATATTTTGATGAAAAAGTTCTTTCAGAACCCTCATTTTTACGCGAGATTTATAATCCATAGAATCTATCAAATTGAGGAAAAAAAATCATCCTCTTAAACCTCACAATTTTGAAAACCAAATTTTCATCATACCAAACAAACATGTGACTTTGGTGTGAGGTTCATGAAACATTGGATTGGAGTTCCAGTTTCATAACCACAATTTAACAAGCACATCACCCCTTGGTGGCTTGGTATAGAAATTTTGTTTAGTTTGGTTGGGGTGTGAGAATAATCGTAAAAGTGCATAATAAGTTGTATTGAAAAAGTAAGTGATTAAATATTTTATACTGAATTTATGATGTAATTGAAGTTTAACTATTTTGTATTGTTAAAAATTATCTATCAATATAAAATTTTAATAGAAGATTTTTCCGGTCGAAGTGTAGTATCTTACAGCTTTCACATACACAAGTGAAAAATGATATGGGGATGAAACAGGTGGATGAAAAATGAGTCGGTGGGAATCGGGGGAATATGTATTGAATGGAAATGGACAGTGGGAGGTGGGGTGCGATGCCAGCTGTAGGAAGCAGCAACTAGTGTCAACTGCCTAACTGCTTCTAGCTAAAGTTACATCACCAGATATATATCATCACTCACTCCACCCAATTAATACTTTTGCCACGTGGGCGGCCGCGATGCCATCATGGTAAAAATATTCGTTTCAGATTTGGGAGTTACTACGTTACGCCACTTTTTATTGAAGAGAAGGGAGAGACAAGAGAGTGCCGAAAGTCAAAGGGAGGGAACCAAACCGAGACCAAGAATCACGTGAGATTCATACAGCCTGGAAAGTGGGGTCCGCTCCTACGTGGAGAGAGGGTGTTGGAGTCATCCCCGGGAAAAACAGTAAAATGGTTGGCTGTTAGTGTTACGAACAAATCATTTGTACGGATGGATGCAGCGGTGATATTTGGGTAGTCGAGATAATACTGGTAAACTAATCGGAACAAACGGTTAATGGCTATATATATAGAGGTAACGCCGCGGTTATCAGTAGATCGAAATGGTTCATGGTGTAACGGATAACGCCGCGGTTATCAGCAGATCGAAATGGTTCACGGTGTAACGGATAATCGAAAAGCTAATTAATGATTAATTAATAACTAATCAAATATAATTATGTATGGAACTCTCCTCTAAAACGGTCATGTCCGTTCCAAACAAACTCTCAAACTTAGAACACAATTTCGTCCTCGTCCCATCCCTCTTTTCCCCCATATTTCTTCAGAACGTGAGCCCTAAAATTGATAGGAGCAAAGAGCACCGTTGACTCAATCACCTAATTTGCACTCATCAATCTTCTCCGTCAACTTTTCGCTTTCTTTCTCTCAATCTTAGTAGGAACAACAAGCAAGCTCAAATCAATGGTAAAAAGTTAAAACAGAACACATACATATGTACGAAAACAAATATACAAACATGCACGATTGAAAAAAAGAGGGAGGCCTTCTGCGGGTTCGGTTATCAGCCGGTTATTCTGGTTTAACTTTTGTTAAATCACTTGCTAAATTGTTAGTCGGTTAATTGACATACAACCGATAACCTACTATACCATTACAGTTTACCAAATAATATAAACGGTACATTAAAATAAGTAAAATTTGCTTAACAATTAACGGAATAAACTGCTATGGATAGGGGTGTTCAAACATAGTGGTTACCCTGGTGACCACTTTAACCGATAGCATTTGCATAATTTGGATAATTGGTTTGGTTTTGTCAAACTTTTTAGTCTATTCGGTTTAGATGGTTCGATTTGGCTTCACACATTCCTAACCAATTAAACCAATTAACCAGTTAAACAATTAGCCATATGTCTAATATATTCTATACACATACTTAATACTTTGCATAACCACTCAAAGTCGAGAGCCAAACGTTCCTCCCTTTTGGACCCACCAAAAAATAAAGTGCATTATTGTTCCTACACTCCAAAAAAAAAAATTCCACCAAAAAAAGAGTGTAGACAACAACATACGAGCACCTAACTTAGATAAAACTCATACATGATTGCTAAGAAATTAATACAATTCACACATACACGCTAAATTCAACAACCACATACTATTGACATATATGTTTGTTAGGTGACTACTTCTAATGACGACAAGATAAATTATATTAGTTGCAAGTATTAATGATAATGATTAACTATATATTGATTGTTAATATTTTATTCACTATATAAATGACAGATTAATGCATTAATATGAGATTTTTTCTCGCATAATAATAAGGTTATATAATATCAATTAATCAGGTTAAACAATTAACCAAATTGATTAAATAATAGTTTGATGAATTAAT